ATACCTTTCAGCCTACACATGCATCTTGAATACCTTGCAGATTCCTGTGATTTCATAATTTGGAGTGGGAACCTGGTACTATTATCTACAGAAAGCATAGTGGTATTACAGTAGTATGCCAAAATCTGGTGTATAAGACTTTTGGAAAAGCTAACTGGTTAAGTCCAGGCTCTCTACAGAAGTGGTGACAGCACACAGTTTTACAAAACCTGATACCCATTTATAGAATTTGTAAACTCAAATGAAGAGGACACTTTCTCCTTCATCACATTCTGATATACTGTATGGAAGGACTTTAGCTGATCATAATGAGCTGACGAACTCAAATGAAGAGGACACTTGTCCTTCATCGCATTCCGATATATGAAAGGACTTTAGCTGATCATAATGAGCTGACTTCTCTGCAATACATGAGCCTCATCCTGTGGGCTTGCTTGTGAGTTTATTTTACGAGTTGAATGTTATGTGTATATGTCAATAGTAATAATAATAAAAAGCAAAAAAAAACCCCACCCACAAACCACCCTGTAGCATTAAAACAATTAAAATACATATTTTTTGCAATAATTATCACTGGAATATCCCAACCTTCCACAGAAATTATACTCAAGGCAGCTCACAATTTAAAAGGCAGACACAAAAACTGCCAATGAAAGGAACAGTAAGTTCATTAAAATAGCAAAAATTTGAAACATTTCAAAAGCGGGAGTATTTAAAATAAAATGGGATCAAAATGGTTCTTGTTATACAGATATTAATTTTGAGGGAGAGAAGAAGCTACAACTGCTCCCTTTCCTTCTGGCTTTACAAGTGTCCCCAGATGTGTGTGCAGCTTGGGAATGGGTAGAGGAGATCCCAACCCACAAAGTTGGGTTGACTCTCCTGCCTTCCCCAGGCTGTGAGTTGCCCGTGTACTCATGGTTGGTGTACTTTGCTTGATGTGCTTATGACAGCCAATGAAGGAACAACTTAAAGTGGTGAACTGCTTGTGTTGCACTTGTTAAAAGTAAAGAAAGAGTTAAGAAATCATTGGCTTGGGTAAACTTCAGCTTGCAAAAGAAGAATATAAAGTTCTCTGAAGGCAATTCTTGTTGAGATTAGATGAGGAAAAGGATGTTTGTGGATTCTCACTGTTGACTCTGCTCTGCTGCTCTAAATTCTATTCTCCTGCATTTATGGAGCCTTGATGACGTTGCAAGAGTCTTATCTTCCCATGTCCACAAATAGTGATGATCGAGTGTACCCCTGCTCCATGTGATGCAGTCTACACTGGGATGACATGATGTACGTTAAACGTTTCCTAGATTAGCTTTTCTCTCCACCTGACACAACTGATGTTTAAACCAAGGTGACTGCAACCACTGTTGTGTAAGACAGTGCATCCAGACAGTTCTATTTGGTGGCCTGTTGTTGAGTGCTTCTCTCCTCCCCCCTCCATCCTAGCCTCTCTCAACTACACAACAAGAATACAATGCTCACATTTCTTATGGGGTAAAAAGGGCCACAGTTTTATTGATTGCAGAAGTGGTCTCTGGCCAGTATTGGGGGATCGGATCCAGTGTATTGAGAGGCCCAAGTGCTACCTGATACCGACCACCATTTGCTTCAGCAGACACAATTCTACTGGTTGTAGCTGTGTTCTGGAAACCACACTGGCATATGCCACTCCATGATTCTTGGACACTGACAGCAGGAGTTGGGCCAGTGGCCCTGGAACTGGGCCAGACCATGACCCTGCACCAATCTCCCTCCCTGTATGGGAAAGTTTATTGGGTTTGGAGTCTTCACCCTTAAACCATCTGGATCTAACACCCGGTGCCCCAAAATGCCGCTAGAGCTGGGCCTTGCTCAGCTCTCACCAGAGAACTGCAGCTGCAACCAATCTGTTAACGGTTGTGCTGATATCATGCAGCTGACATTGTTCCTACAATTAGATAAGTGGACACCACCAGCCTGAAAGAGGTGTGAGCCTTTAAATGAATTATCCGGGTGTTTAATCCAGTGTCTACCCCAGGACACAACCAGCTGGCTAATAGACCCAGTAACCCGTTGCCTCACAATATCCACCTTCCCTGCATCCCTTGCCCAGTGCTACTTCGGTCTGTTCTGGAGGTCCGACCACATGTTTTATATCATGGGATAGTGGAGGTGCTGTCCTGAAGTGCTGGAGGCAGCATCTTGCTCTGCCCAGTGTATAATGCTGTGGCCAACAAGCCATATGCTGGCCACCGGACCTGTTGGTAGAACTGAAAAAGGGAAGCATCAGAATTATAGAGTGAAGACGTGGTTTTTAATAAACCTCCAGTTTCCATCAGCCGATTTGCTTTATTCGTTCAGGGGGCATGCCTAGACCAGCTACAACTGTGGCTGCTCCCATGCAGAAGGTATGAGTGGCAAAATTCTGGGTAGGTAGCTCACCTGTGCTACTGCTATCTCCAGTACATCAAAAAACTGGCCGTGAGTTACTAGAGTGTCATCATTGTGGACCAGCAAGAGGCCATGCCCCTGAGGGCATTGCAGCAAGTAGGCCTTGGTTTCCTGGACTTGACAAAAGGATCCATCCTGCCTCAGTCTGAGGCAAAGAGTAGACCCCCAACCCTACTGGTCAGTCTTTGAGTTTCTAAGACTTGGGACCATGGCCTTTCATTCTGGAAGGTGACATCTGTCTATTCACCATGGCCTCATTTCTTGATCCAGCTATTGGCTCGCCTGCCTTGAAGACCCCAAAGAAGGCTATCATGTATGCCGTCTTAAACAACACAGTCACTTCTGGTGACCACCATCCCCTGGTGAGCTGAGATGTCATAGCATAAAGGATGGTCAGGGTGATGAACTTTCTACCCTCTGGAGCCTGTGGTGTGGCTCTCTTGCATCCTGTCGGAGCTCACCTAATACAGAAGGTTCCACATGGGTCAGGGAAGCCATGTGCCTAACTTTAAAAAAAAAAGGTAGTTGCAGCTGCATGGGAGATTCTTTGGCGGCATTTATATTTCTTTTTTTTTTCTTCTATGATAGAAGAAAGAGAGGAGGTAGATAAATGTGCTTGGAAGAAAGGACTGAGAGCATAGCTAAATTGTACGATTCATAATACAGTAATTGTTTGCTGCTAAGTCAGTTTTGACTTATGGTGACCCTTCCCTGAGTTTTCTAGGTAGAGAATACTCAGAAGTGGTTTATCACTCTGTTCTTCTGAGGGCATCCTGAGAATATGTGTCTTGCCCAAGGCCATGCATGCTGCCTTTACTCACAGGAGGCAGAATGGGGAATCGAACTCCCAACATCTGGCTCCACAGCCAGATACCTAAGCCACTGAGCTATCCCTCACAGTTAGCCCATCAATAAGCAGAGCTCTCTTAAAAAAGTTTTAAAAAATGTTTATTCTAGCAGAAGGTTGCCTGAGTTTGCTATTTGAAAATTAGCTGTTGTTTAGTGATTGGTTACTGGAAGATAAACACAGGCTTCATTTTAAAGTCTGATTCCTCAAGCAGATAGCTTTAGGGATTTTTTTTTTTTTTTTTTTTTTTTCAGACCATTTTTTGCACTCTCCAAATATGAATTTATGTTACGATTTTCTCAGTGTTTTGATCCTGAAAAGAAAGGCACAGGAGTCAAATGTCCTTTAGTGTTGCTTTTTACAGTTAAAGCATCAGAACCCCAGTAATTTATATGTGGCCAGAGTGAACATGTGGAAAGAAATATCCATGTAGTGTTTGCGTCAAAATAATTTAACGAGTTGGTGACAGAGAGAAAAATAATTTTGGTGGGTTTTTTCCTTGTTTTTTTTTTTTTATTTATAACCTATTTCTTCATTAAAAAAAAGTTGCCCAGGTTACTGAAAATAATTTTTATAACAAAAAGAAAAAGAATCTCCAAACAGTGGAGCAATACCATAATAAAACCTGATATCAGAACATTAAAAGAGCAGCTAATTAATATAAATAAACTAGTTTAGAAAATAAAGATTTAAACACAAAACAACGGGGAAAGTACTTCTCATTTTTGGCTCACAAAAAAATCATTTGGCAAACTGTCTATTTAAAGAAAGCAGTTTTGCCTCTTAGTGAAAGGTCATCAAGAAGGAACCTGCCCTTGGAATTGTATGCTTTTGTTCACTTGCGAAGGTGAAAGTGAACGAGGCATAATGAGCGTGACTTGTCCTTATCACGGCTACTGTAGCAGCCTTATTGCACTTACAGTTCTGTTCTGCAGAGGAGGAGAATGCTAGTTTTGCACTGTTACATAATTTTAAGAGATGTATGCAGTCTTTTATATAAGCAAGTACACCTTGATTTCAGAAATGTTCTTAAGTATGCCCTGAATGTTTGAAAATCATCTGAAAACTGCCCTGGATCAGAATTTGAAAAGGGTACAACCTCCAGCATCTTCCAGTCAGCAGGGTCAGGGACTGTGCTGGCAGGAGGATTTTCTGAGTTGTCCAAAGAAGTTTTTGAGCTCTGGCCAAGATATACTTATGTTCTTCCACAGCCATGCCAGTAACACTGTGTCAACTTTTCTTACGTTGTTTCCATTACTTAAAATTTGTTACCTGCCCTTGATTAATCTGGGTGCTCCCATACAGGCATGGGTATCTCTGCAAGGAAGTGACCCTCTGTAGTGGTATCGTTACTTAGAGCAGGAACTGCCCTTTCCCTCTGAGTGTGCATGTTATTTGTCAATACATAAAGCATTGCTTTGAGTCAGTTACTTATATCCCCAGACTGACACAATGCGTCATGTGTAAATAACATTTTCCCATACAGCTTTGAACTGGATTGGAGTGTATACCTTTAGCTCTTAGAAAGATATGTGCTCAGTGATTAAACGGGCTCCACGTACATTTATTTAACATATGTGCAATATGATCTTTAAAAAGATAAACAAACTACTGTGACTGCATAGCAAAATCCTTTTTTTGTGTGTGCGTGTGCGTGTGTGCCAAATAGGTGGGTAAGCTCAGTGTCACCCAATCACCTGTGGCTGTTTTTCCTCCACCCCTTCAGAGTAAGCAACTTCACACCACCTCCTGCTTCCACTGCTTCAGCAAGATATCTGAGTAAATCCTCTTCAATCATTTGTTGCTACACTAAAGAGAGAGAGAATTCCATAGCCTGGATATTATTGTTGGGTGAGTAATGATTGAGCTGAAAATAAAGTTGGTATTATAGTAGGAGATTTATAAAACAAATTCCATGCTGAGCAAGCTTTGAATAGTGCGTGTTAAAGCTTTGAGTGGCTTTACTATAAATGGCTTAATAAGGAAATTTTTCTGTCAAATAAGTTTTGAGTGGAAATGAGCTTTTGAATATGTAATGTATTACATACTTAAAAAATGTGAAGACTCAAGTCTGGGTAGGTCTGATTTTCTGACAATACTTTGTAGATTTAAAAACACAAAACTTGCTGCATGCTTTGATAGAATGCAGAAAAATGGCAAGCAAATATGCAAGCACAAGACAGCAATCCGCTGCAGAAAGTCTAAATTACTTGGAATAACCCAATTGGATTAGATTATCCTGTAATTAAGATATTGAAGGGCACAATTGGAAAGGCTTAAATATTTTATGAAAAACTGCTTATAGGTTGTTTTTGGTATTTTGTAAATCTTAGTCAGCAGTTTTTCAGTGGACTGAGGTTAGACTCCCCAAAGTAAGTTATCCTGAACTCTGTGAAATCTCCTGTGGAACCATTTGTAAGGTTATGTTGTTAGAGTTTTTTCAGTGATAACTAATGGTTTAGCATTGTTACAAACAGCTTTGCAAAGTTGTAAGAAGGAACATGACTTGAGAATTGATCCTATTTCATGACATCTGGTTTGTCATCGTTTAGCCTAGGATTTGGAAGCTGCTTTTGAGTGGTAAGACTCTGTGCTGCTACTCACTGCCTCTGCATAGACTGGTGAATGTCACTTTATTTTGAGATAAATGCCAGCCGTTAACATTTTGCTAAACAAATTTTCTAGTACCTGACCACATTTTTAAAAACATCTTTGAATACACCAATGAAATGGAGATGAACTCAATATAATTCTATATACAGAAAATGTGCAGTAAGCTGTCATGATTGTGAAGGGACAGCCATATGCTGAGCACTGTGGGATGTGTTCCAGTGGTCACAAAGCTTATAGAAAGTAGCAGGTTGTTCATTGATCCTTTATGTATGGCAATGTTTGGACATGACTGTCAAGGTTCCTCCTGCTGGCAGTTTTACAGATGTGAAGCTGGCGTTTTTTTTAAATTGGCTCTACTAGGCAGAGTGGACAGACTCCAGACTCAGGTTGTATTACCACACTGGGTTCAGCCATCCAGAGCCAGACACAGACTGGTAGTGTAAAGGCTGGAGTCAATTATTTGTTGCATCCCATGAATCATATCCTAGGATATATAGAAATTGTGTGTGTTGCTTGAGATCAGGTGTTATAGTGCAACATTCTAGCAAAGGAGAACGAAGACCTGGTCAAATGCAACTGAATAGTATTCCAGGAGTACTGAAACTGCTTCAGAGTAGCAAGACTGGCAAGTGCAAAGAGAAGAATGCATAACTTATAAAGACACCCACACCCACCCACACCCCCAAATGGTGTGGAAGAGGGAAGAATAGCAGTTGAGAGGGGATGTTTTTAATGTAATTTTACTTGCTCTTGTTCAAATAGTGAGAATCAGATTTCCTTGGAAATCAAACACACATGGCAATCTGAATCCCTCGCAGATAAGTCAGAAGTGATCCTGAGATCTTTACCTTTTAGATCTTGAGCTATCTTCTGTTGACAACATACTCTCCTTACTGAGGTCCTTGAGAACTCTGACTTACCATGCATGAGCAACATGCTGATGCATGCCACTTAATCACTTTTGCTGCAGCAGGAACAAAAACACAGAACTTCACTCCATGGTTTGCTAATCATTTAATGCAACCATTCTTCACAGCATAACTGTCTGCCTGGTTTCGCTTTCTGCCTGAAAAGCTAAAGTTACCTAAACCTCTGAGCTATCTGGCAGTTCTAGTGGAATTTATAGTTTGCTAGTGGATTTTGTTTCGCTGAGATCCCTGGCTTACCATCTTGTAAAAATTCACCCAATATCACAAGCTACTCTGGGTACAGGCCCATTAGTTGTCAAGTTCTCCAAACATGATGTTCTCATCATTAAATTCCTCTTCGTTTTTGAAAATTGTAAGATCTGTAAATAGCTGTCCAAATAATGCACGTTAATCCTCAGTCTCTTTTAAACTGAGATTGATCTCTGAATGGTGTGAAACATATTTATCAACACTGGAAACTAATTTCCCTTTGATGTTTTATCTCTGAATGGTATGAAACATTTTATTTATCGACACTGGAAACTAATTTCCCTTTGATGTTTGTTCTCTTTGGCTACTGTAAATGTGAGGATCATAGAATTCTTAGAAATATTGGTAGTTTAGTAATCTCTCTAATTTTTCAGGCTCCTTTGTCCAAAATGAAAACCTGTGGACCATCTTTGTCATTTGTTCGGTGCCTTTTCCGGAGAAAAATTATCACTTCAGACAGCCTTGAAGATTCCAAATTATGTCGCTGTTTATCCACCGTGGACCTTATTGCACTAGGAGTAGGAAGTACGCTGGGAGCTGGTGTTTATGTCCTTGCTGGAGAAGTTGCAAAAGCAAATTCTGGACCTAGTATTGTTGTTTCTTTCCTCATTGCTGCTTTAGCTTCTGTGATGGCAGGCCTTTGTTATGCAGAGTTTGGTGCTCGTGTTCCAAAGACTGGTTCTGCCTATTTATATACCTATGTCACCGTTGGTGAACTCTGGGCTTTTATCACTGGCTGGAATCTCATTTTGTCCTATGTTATAGGTGAGTTTGAAATATCTTCTATCTTTTTTGAAGATGCCATCAATAACAACCTGGTCAGCTTTGTGTCTTTAGTGACAATTACCTTGAGAAGTGTTGTGTGCATATGTGAGAGTGAAAGATCCTTGGGACATGCTTTTAACGTACATGACCTTTTTAGTAGCTATTGGCAGTGGTGGAAATAGGACAGTATCCAGTGGCCAGAAACATACGTGAGGGATAGACTTACTACAGACTGTAATTATGAGACATGAATGACATACACCCTAGGTGAAAGGCTCTTCAAGTTCACCTATAAGATATAGTAACAGCAGAAAGGAGATGAACCCAACAACTTGTATTAGGTACATAGGAAATTCTGTGAGTTTACAAGAATGAATAAAATCCACAGGTCTTGTACACAATGATTCACAAAAAAATAGTGAATCTCTGTCTTCTTCTTTCCCTTCAGTGCTAATGTCCCCACTTTACTCTTCATTACATTAACTTATACACAGATTGAAATCCAGTAGTAATTTACAACTAGAGTAGGCCCACTGAATCAGTGAAACTTACACAAAAGTTGACTCATCAAATCCCCACTAATTCAATGGCCTGAGTCTAGTTGTGATGTACTACAGAATTTTAGCCATAGTGTGGTGTTGTGTCTGCAATATTTCTTAACTAGGATTGTTCTCCTAAGTGGATTGCTAGTCTTGGTTAATAGAGACTCTTGGTGAGTATTAACCACAGTTTTAAAAAGCTGTGCCAACACTATATTGTGTTGAAGGCACAAGAAGAGGAAATTGGTGGTAAACTAGTATGCAAGCTTCTGATCCACTATTGATCTCTTACCCATGACTGAGTGACAGCAGTGGATTTTTCTGAATGATAATTTCTCACTCTTCAACATATTGGAAAGCTCTGTGGGAAAGGAAGAAATGGTTGACGGGACAGGGAACTAGATGGCCACTCCCAGGGATATCTGGATTTGGCTGAGTGACCTGCCTATAGGTGTCTACTGATAGCAGCCATGCTCTCTGATAGCATTATAGAAATGAAGCTTCAGATTTCTTCTGAGGACATTGCTTTCTTGAGCTAGAGGACTGGGCCTCTGATGTCCTGGCTATCATTCAGCAGACAGAGTATAGTCTCTAGAGGAATTTTTGTATACCTCCTGTTTCCAACTACTGTACTGTATTGTGTAATATTTGCCCTCTTGTGTTGTATTTGAAAAGAGAGGACCAAGGAGATGCATCTGAGGTCCAATCTGTGTGATGCTCCTCCTGCACAATTATAAAGTACTGTGTCAGCTCTGTCAGCTAGTAAACGAAGCTCCTGATTACTCCCAATGATCAATCATCAAATAAAAACAAGCTAGTTTACAATTTATGGAGCTGAAACTCATGATGGAATGAACAAATGTCCTTTACCACTTAAGGAGGCTGTGTCTAATTACAACATGAGTATCCTATATAATCTGGCCCTTACCAACTGTGTTATGTGCTGTCAACGTGATTCTGGGTTGTTCTGTCCTTTTAAGTGTAGTTTTTTTCACAAAAGGGGGAAAATAGAGAGAGAGGGAGAGACATCAAATTTATCTACTGTTTCCTTAAGGAGGCGAAGCAGGTTAGGTTACATGGAGGCATATTGTAATATTATAACATTACATCACCATCATCTAGGGTACTAAATTCACAGTGTGCCCCATATACAGTGGGGTCTTGACTTGAGAACTTAATCCATATTGGAAGGCGGTTCTCAAGTCAAAAAGTCTGTAAGTCAAGTCTCCATTGACCTACAGTGCATTGAAAACCGATTAATCCCGCAACAGGCCATTTTTGTTCCATTTTGGGTTTTTTCTGGTCTGTAAGTCAAATCTCAGTCTGCAAGTCAAACCTAAATTTTGCGTCCAGAGAAGTCTGTAACTCAAAAAGTCTGTAAGTCAAGCCGTCTGTAAGTCAAGGGTCCACTGTATCCTATTATACCTGATGCTATTGTTACTTCAATACACCTTGGGATATTCTTCCTATGAAATTGCTCAGCTGATAGCTAACTGTGTACTGTAAATTTAGTAAATTAACTATTCAGAGCATTAATTGTTATGATGTTTTTGTATTTCTCAAGCTGGACCTCTGCCACTGTTATATCCCAGTATTTTAGGGCATTTTAGATTTTTGTCTGTTATGGAGAGGGAGGAAGAGATTAAAACACCTAACGATATAATATACTAATGGACACAATACAGTATAATGTAGGACAGCTGATGTCTTAAATTGTTCATTGCAGAGATGCACAACCTTCTTTTTTTAAAAGTCGTATAAATACAGATGGGTTTTTCCTTAAAATAACAATGGTACCCATGTGATTCACAAAGTGTACAGTGTTTTGTTCATTTCTTTAAGGTACAGCAAGTGTAGCAAGAGCATGGAGTGGCACCTTTGATGAACTCCTTGGGAAACAAATTGGTTACTTTTTTAAAGCTTACTTCAGAATGAATTATTCTGGTCTTGCCGAGTATCCAGATTTTTTTGCAGTCTGTCTTATATTGCTCCTAGCAGGTAAAAATATTTAACTTTTCTTTTTATTATTTTCTGTGTCGTTTTCAATAAGTGAAAATGGTTGTAACTGTTTACGTATATTTCTTTACCTCCAGTGTTATGTATCTGTGATTGATACAGAGGGAACTTACTAAGGGCAGAAAATCTAGCTCTGATTTTTATGCTGTTGACAGCTACAATGATTAATTGCAGTCAAGAGTAGATTCATTGAATCAAGGAGAGTTACATCAGTATTGACTGAATACGTCTCATTCTTTCATTATCCTCATTGAGATTTAATAGATTTAATCACATGGGCCAGCTATTTTTGGGGGCCCTTGTTTAGCTTCTCAAATTAAATTCTGGAACCTCAGTGCAGCTGAGTTATGAGATAATATTCTTTATCTGGCCCTGAACAACATACGTGCATTTACACACCTCTAATTCTACAAGACTAATTAGCTCGGTGAGTTAGGTATCTGGCTGCAGAGCCAGAGGTTGGGAGCTGAGTTCCCCACTTTACATCCCAGATATTCTGGCAATATCTCTACAGGCTTTTTTTCTCAGCAAGTGATCACTGCTACAAACTTTGGCTCTTTGCTGTCGCATAGCACAATGCTTATGAAATTGCTGTCTCACTGAATCTGTGAACTAACCGTACCTGAATCAAAAAAAGAAAGAAAGACAAAAAGACAAAAAAGACAAAAAATGCCAAAACCATTACACCCTTTTACTGTTGCCTATTGCAAGAGTGTATTATTGCATATTGCACAGTAAAGGCTGTGATCCTTCGGCATTTTTAATTGTTTTGTCTTTTGTTTTGATTCAAGTAGGGCTAGTTCACAGACTTGGCAACCTAGCAATTTCATCAACATTGCATTTCTGAAGCTGATGCCAAGGTGCCCTAAAATATGTGTTTTGCGATCCCTGCTTCAAGTTACATGTGTATATCTGTAATATATGATTACCACAAATCTCCTACCTCAAAAGTCATTTGCAGATCACACTGTGCATGTACACCCAGTGCAGACTTGTACAGGCAGTGGCAGAAATGTGGGTGTACCATGTGTGTGGACTATGAATTCAACTCTATGTAGAGAATTTCCAGCTTGCTCTGTATGTAGATTGGCCTTTTATGTATATACTATAAATAGGCAAAATATTTTGAAGCTGTAATAAACATATTGGAAATGATAGCAGTTATATCTTATATTAGAAGTGATAGCAGTTATACCTTTGTGATATGTAGTTGTGATGTGATTCATTAAAAACACTCTTGTTTTATAGGTCTGTTATCATTTGGAGTAAAGGAATCTGCATGGGTGAATAAAATCTTCACTGGGATTAACATCTTGGTCCTTCTCTTTGTCATGACTTCTGGCTTTGTGAAAGGAGATATTGGTAACTGGAAGAAAACTGAAGAATTTCTTATAAACTACACAATAGAGATAAAGTAATGTAGATTTTCACCCCTGTTCATTCTACTTCTCTTGCCCCTTTTGCTTTTTGTGGGGTAGGGGAGAATTCATATGTAGTACTAAATTGTGTTCAGCAGCAGCCATGCATTATTTATTTATTTAGAATGTTTTTACTCTGCCTTTCTCCTTAAAAGGACCCAAGGTGGCATAAGCAGAAAGAAACTCATGCAAAGCTCTAAGCTTACAGTCTCTCCTCCCTCTCCTCCTCTCATGTAAACAGGATGAATAAACCAGAAGTCAGGTTAAGTTCAGTCCTCTCCTAGCTTGTTGTTACATAGAAACTAGAACTGTTGTTTTAAAAGAAATTCTAGTAAACTGCTGAGTATGTCCTGGTTTGCTCTGTCAGTATTTTTTATAAACTAGAATTATTTCAAACCACTATTTCTGCACATAACAAGGTAGGACTTTTCTAAAGGAAAACTCAATTCTAGTTTAAATGACTCTTCTGAAAGAAAGCTGAATTCTTGTTTATTTTGTCCTGCCAGTTGCATGAAAGGAAGCGAGGAGAAAACACGAACCCAGTGCTTTTCAAGGGCTTCTTTTTGTCCATATATAGAGTTCAGAAATATGATTTAGCACTGTGTGTGAATATTTATTTATTTTATTCATTTATTTAATTTATATGCCGCCCATTCTGCAACAGTCAATATTCAGAACCTGATACACAGGAACTTTATATCCAACCGTGACTACAAACAGCACTCAGAAAAATGCAGATTTATAATAGAACAGTATCCTGGTGCTATTGGGAAGGACTTTCACTCTTCAGCGACATTTTGGTCAGACGGTGGCTTTTAATGAATATTTTTAGGAGGCAAGACTGTATTCTGTATTCAGATCCTGTACATGTATGGTATTGCAGGGTCTTGTTATAATCCCCTTATAGTCACCACAAAAGAAGCTTGTTTTTCGTATAGTGTAAGGAGGGCTGCAGGACCCCTGTGATTAAAAGTATATTGAAAAGTGTTTTATTGTTGCCTAGATTGCTTTATTAGGTGATACATATATAAAACTCTTGTAATAATTCAAATTGTGTTTTTAGAAATGTATCGTATTTTGAGAATGTAACAAGTGCATTTGGAGTTGGTGGTTTTATGCCATATGGCTTTACTGGAACGCTGGCTGGTGCTGCAACCTGCTTTTATGCTTTCATAGGATTTGATTGCATTGCAACAACTGGTAAGTTTTCTTCATTTTTTGCTTTTCATTTTTAAATAATGATAATAATACTAATAATAGAATTGCAAAGCTGGAAGAGACCCTGTGGAACATCAAGTCCAGTCTCTATCAAGGAGACACAAAGGTTTTTATATTGAACTATTATAAGCCAACAAGCAAATTCAATTTATTGCTTTGGCTCACAAGCCGTGGAAAATTATATAATTTAAAAAAAAAAACAGAATGAAATACAATGTAAAAAAATATGAATCAAACTTCTGGTCAGATTTTAAAAATTTAACATAAAAATTCATCATACATATGCAAACAAACGTTAATACACTTAGTAATTTTAACTATAAAATACTAATTCAGTGACAGTGATTAGTATCAGTGATTAGTGGCAGATGATGCAGATTTTGTTTTTAAAGAGAATGGAAATAAACTTTTCCATTCAAACTGTGACAAATTTGTCCTTACCTGAAAGTAAGACTCTGAGTTTGTCTTAGTCAGATCTTCTAGGGGAATTGCTCCAAAATAGACCTCAGTATTTCCTAATAGAGGAAAATAATAGAAAGGGAAAAACCAGAGATCTGTTCAAGAAAATTAGAGATATCAAAGGAACATTTTGTGCAAAGATGGACATAATAAAAGACAAAAATGGTAGGGACCTCACAGAAGCAGAAGACATCAAGCATAGGTGGCAAGAATAAACAGAGGAATTATACCAGAAAGATCTGGATGTCTTGGACAACCCAGATAGTGTGGTTGCTGACCTTGAGCCAGACATCTTGGAGAGTGAAGTCAAGTGGGCCTTAGAAAGTATAGCTAACAACAAGGCCAGTGGAGGTGATGGCATTCCAGTTGAACTATTTAAAATCTTAAAAGATGATGCTGTTAAGGTGCTACACTCAATATGCCAGCAAGTTTGGAAAACTCAGCACTGGCCAGAAGACTAGAAAAGATCAGCCTACATCCCAATTCCCAAGCAGGGCAGTGTCAAAGAATGCTCCAGCTACTGTACAATTGCACTCATTTCACACGCTAGCAAGGTTATGCTCAAAATCCTACAAAGAAGGCTTCAGTGGTATGTGGACCGAGAACTACGAGAAGTAACAGCTGGATTTCTAAGAGGCAGAGGAACTAGAGACCAAATTGCTAACAGGCACTGGATTATGGAGAAAGCCAGAGCGTTCCAGAAAGACAGCTACTTCTGCTTCATTGACTACGCAAAAGCCTTTAACTTTGTGAACCACAGCAAACTATGGCAAGTTCTTAAAGAAATGGGAATGCCTGACCTATCTATCTCCTGAGAAATCTATATGTGGGACTGGAAGCAACAGTTAGAACAGGATATGGAACTACTGATTGGTTCAAAATTGGGAAAGGAGTCAGACAAGGCTGCATATTGTTTCCCTGTTTATTTAGCTAATATGTAGAATACATTGTGTGAAAGGCATGACTGGATGAATCCCAAACTGAAATTAAAATTGCTGGAAGAAATATCAACAACCTGAGATATGCATATGATACCACTCTGATGGCAGAAAGTGAGGAGGACTTAAAGAACCTTTTAATGATGGTGAAAGAGGAAAGCGCCAAAATGATCTGAAGCTCAACATCAAAAAAAAACTAAGAACATCACCTCCTCGCAAATAGAAGGGGAATATATGGAGGCAGTGACAGATTTTACGTTCTTGGGCTCCATGATCACTGCAGATGGTGACAGCATCCATGAAATTAAAAGACACCTGCTTCTTGGGAGGAAAGCGATGACAAACCTAGACAGCATCTTAAAAAGCAGAGACATCACCTTGTCGACAAAGGTCCACATAGTCAAAGCTACGGTTTTTCCTGTCTTGATGTATGGAAGTGAGAGCTGGACCATAAAGAAAGCAGACCGCTGAAGAATTGATGCCTTTGAATTGTGGTGCTGGAGGAGACTCTTGAGAATCCCCTGGACTGCAAGGAGAACAAACTTATCAATTCTAAAGGAAATCAACCCTGAGTGTTCACTGGAAGGACAGATCCTGAAGCTGAGGCTCCAGTACTTTGGCCATCTAATGACAAGAAAAGACTCCCTGGAAAAGACCCTGATGTTGGGCAAGTGTGAGGGCATGAGGAGAAGGGGACGACAGAGGACGAGATGGTTGGACAGTGTCATTGAAGGTACCAGCATTAATCTGACCAAATTCCGGGAGGCAGTGGAAGACAGGAGGACCTGGTGTGCTCTGGTCTATGGGGTCACAAAGAGATGGACATAATTTAATGACTAAACAACAACAACAATCTTGCACATTGCAAGGGACAGTAAAATATGACATGTACTAAATTCTCAATTGATTTTTGATCATAGGAGTAGACTCTTTCATTATATGGTATTCCTTCTCACTGACATTCTAAAATAGCAAGTGGCAGCATATCTAGACAGGCCTTAGTGAATGCTTCTGTGTTCATGAGATCAGTTAAATATGGTGGAAGATGAATGAGAGATCTTTTTGTAAAGAGGTGCAGTTCTTGAGGTGCCTAATAAACCTACATCAGTTTGAATACAGAGATCTAATAGTCTTTGCTTTAATGCAAGTTTTGCTGCAGAAAGACTGAAGTATCTCACGTACTCATCTGAAAAACCAGATTGAGCAGCCGTATTAAACACAAAGGTTTTTCATGACCCAAGTTCCATCTGCCTGTGTGGTAGTGTTAAAAATTTCGAAGGAATGCAGAATAGAATTTTCAGCCAATAGTTATTGACTGCTTTATCAGCTAAGGTCATTATTGGTTTTAATGCCAATTTCAGTCTGACTCGAGCTGTAGCAGTAGCCAGGCAAACTTATTTTGGATGACTTCTAATTGATGTGAATCCCCAAATTTCATCTCCATACAGTATCTCAGGGAGTTATTTTGTTTTGAGAATTTCACAAGTGGCAGGAAACAAACATCTGCTCTAGTTGTGAGTATGCCAAATACGGCCTTTTCAAGTGTGTGCTTAGTAAACCCAGTCTGACATGTCCAGGAGCCTGACTGGTGGAACATCACTCCTAAATATTTGAAGTGAGGTACCTGTTCTAATATCCTCCTGTCCATTGTCCATTTATGAGAATGGGATGTTCTGCTCAGGCCATAATTTTTATTTTCTCATAATTTATACCAAACACTGTTATGATTAGATCCTGTGCATGTTGTGGAAAAGACCATATCACAGCAGTATCCCAGTCCCTGCTTTTTAAGTTTTTGATTTATTCATTCAATGTTTTTGGTTGCTTCGAGACCATGACCTTTCCGAGTCTGTTTTTAGTATAAAAAAGTGAAATTTAGGGTAAAATTGTAAACTATTGTAAAGAAGTCCATTTATAATAAAATACAATTTTAAATATCTAACAATGTAGCACGTTATCCTTCCAGTGTAATTCCAGAGAGAGCATGTATGTTTTCAAAACAGCCACCACCTCTTTGTTTCGGATCATAAATAAAATGATAAAATGTTGTGATACATCCAGGGATCTTGGCAAGTCTTTGGTCCAAGTCCCATATCCATGTCCTTATTGAAAATAAGCCCCCCCCCGAAAAAGGGAGGGGTGGGCGGCTTCTGAGTTGTCAGCTGAGTCTGAGTCATTAAAAAAATACACCTGAATCAAGTCCAAGTCGAGTCACCGGTGTGACTTAAGTCCAACTTGATAGCAAGTCCCACGACTCGAGTCTCCATCCCTAGATATCTCACTCAGCTTGAGAAAGTGGAATGGCTATAAATGATAAAGGCCCAAAGACGAGCATCTGATATGTCTTTAATTCATTTTGTATTCTGAAAAGGATGTTTGGTACTGAAAGAAGTCCCCCCGCCTTTTGTGTATTAAAATCATAAGCTGTTTGGACCTTCTGCTCTGTCTGTAAATGGGAATATGAAGTATGGAACATGGTTAAATTTTAACTCCATACATTAGGAACTCCTAAATTGTTTCTGGCCTGATAATTTAGTGGTTTCGAGCACCTGAGTTCACTGTCATGGATCAAGAGTTCATTTCCCCACTGTGCCTCCCAGGAGGAGAGCCAGACTGTGCAACCTTGGGCAAGCTGCACAGCCCCTGAGTGCCACCTGCAGGAGGGACTGGTAAACCACTTCAGAATCTTTTATACCTGGAGAACTACTATAAGCCAGAATCAATGTGAGGGCACATAAGTGTTGTTAATACCATTCACCCAGTGTTTCTGCCAAGTCCCATTTTGCCCTCCTGGAATCATTCAAAGACCTTGAATGGGCTGCCTCATTATTTCCAAAATTTCCAAAAGCTAGCATAGGCTGTTCTTTTTAGATGAAGCTTTTTCCGCATCTGCTTCAAAGATACGATGAGTGACTCTGTGTGATACAGCATTTGCCAGCCTGCCCAAGTGTTCTTTCTCCACTATTTTCCAACACTGTTCCCTTTTCTTCTGCGCAGGCTGAGGTTGCAAAAGCATTGTCCTTTATCAATGTTATCTCCACGCTGAAGGATTCCCCCCCACCCCCAGATTCTATCTCCAAATTGGAGCTGGATTCACTGCAGAGGTGGAAAGGACAGAAATATTTCAGTTGCACTCCCCCTTCCTATCTCACCATGCACACAGGTTCCTCCACAGAATTGGTTATCTTAAAGGATTATAGCAAGGCATCTTTGCATTTGGATCCTATACACCAGCCTTCTCGGGGTGTTTTAGACTATAGCTCTCTTCCTCACTGACCATTATTAGCCTTAGTTATGGTAGGGCCCTGCTGAGATTGAATAAATTAATTATTTTAATAGGTAGCTGAATTAATAAAATTTCCTGTGCATTATGCATTACTCCAGTGCTCTTGTGTGCAAATACTGTTGAAATATTAGCAGAAAAAATATTATTCATTTTCAGAGTAGCTACCGTAGCAGCAATGTTAGTATCAACATTTTTAGGAGATGTGAAGATGAGTAAACTTTCTTACATACAGTTGCTCACAATGGCAGTGTAAACAAGGGAAGAGTGTGGGATTGAATTTTTCCCCTCACATACCTTTCCCCCTAAAGAGGGTAGTGCTTGACATGGATACTAAACAATGTACTGTTCCATTAGTGCGAACCCACTTCAGTGCTAACACTGGTTATTTTTCAAGTTGTTGTCTAGCAGATGGTATTGTTTTCATAGCGATTCGCTTGATCCCAAATAAAGTTCTTAATATATTTACCTGGTGCTAATAATGGATACAGGATTCAGTCCTAGCAACTAAGTCCCTTTGATCACAGTGAGATGTATGAAAAAAACATACTAAGGACTGTGTCATTAATCATACACATTGGCACATTTTAACAGAATTTCTAGAAAGGAATTTTCTAAACCGTGCAAAATTCACTTTAGATGGTGGCCTAAATCCAGTTGCTGTCTGGTGGATTTTTGTTTTTAGTCTTGTGTTTTCTGTCATATTTGCTTGATTGGAAATGATGCTTCATTTTAAAAATATCTCACAGATACATTCATTCTTCTAGATGCTACATCTTCTACAATTAAATCTCACTAGTTAATTTTTCTAATGCCAGTATTCACATTGAAAATGTGTTTTTTCTCCTCCATAGGGGAAGAAGTCAAAAATCCCCAGAAAGCCATACCTATTGGAATTGTAACTTCCCTGCTGGTCTGTTTTATGGCCTATTTTGGGGTTTCAGCTGCTTTAACTCTTATGATGCCATACTACCTAATAGATGAGAAAAGCCCGCTTCCTGTAGCATTCGAATATGTTGGATGGGGCCCAGCAAAATATGTTGTAGCAGTGGGATCTCTGTGTGCTTTGTCAACAAGGTAAAAATAAAGGAAACTAAGTAATTCTCTGGAAATGATCTCATCGAGGAAATCAGCCTACTTGAAAAGTATTGAATAGATTTTATATACAGAAATGATGTGAACGATATAGTTTGCTGTTGGTCAAATCATGCTGAGCTCTAGAACTGGTTGCCACCTTCTTAGTTTGAGAGGCACAAAATGTTTGTGTGTCTGTTTTTTTGCATATTTAAGATGATCAGCTCTTTGAGCTGAAAAACTCATGTGGTATCAAAATCAGGAAAAGATGGATGTGAAAAGTTTTATCAGGATTATGCAATTGAATCCAATTGGTAGCATATCAGAGTAAGTAAGCCTGTAGTATCAATTGATAAATGGTAAGCCAACATTATGTAAACCCTGTTTATTTAATAGGTCTACTTTAATTGATATTAGGAATTGGAATAAGGTCTTTGTTTGTATAAAATAAAGATTTGTGGAAGAGTCATGGCAACTGGACTTCTTTCTTGTTAGGTTGAAACTCATGCAGGCAGCTTCTTCAGTCTGAGGAGAGTTGGAAGGAGATCCCTGATATATCCTGATATCTATCTGTCTGTCTGTCTGTCTGTCTGTCTGTCTGTCTGTCTGTCTGTCTGTCTATCTATCTATCTATCTATCTATCTATCTATCTATCTATCTATCTATCTATCTATCTATCTATCTATCTATCTATCTATCTATCTATCTATCTATCTATCCACACACACACACACACCACATGTCTCCTACTAACTCTCCTCAAACTGAAGAAGCTACATGGATGAGTAGCAAAACATTTCAACCTAAAAAGAAAGAAGTCTACTTGCCATGACTCAGCTTCCAGATAACCTCACTTGAATGACTGAGAATCCTCACAAAAATAAGCATGTGTGTAAAGAAACTGCTCTTGATTTTGATTTCACTAGTCACTGGCTGTGCTGTCTTTTAAGGCAGAAATTCTTATAGCCATAATTAAATTTAAAAGAATCCAGAAACTGTCCAGCATTTAAAACCAGCAGTCCTGCACCAGCTTGCTAACATTTGGGTATGCTTGTTTGCTATTAATGCTGTGGCTGGTGTGGTATTTAAAACTAGCATACATGTTGGCTTTGTATAATATGCCTGTTCAGCGTCTGACTATGAAAAAGGTCAACAGTGATGCTTATTGCATTCATCTGATGCATTTCATCTAATGCAGACATGATGTTCCTAGTCTCTGCATAACAGCTGGGAAATCAGGACCTGCTAAGCTAATGTACTCTTTCTTACTCTCCCCTATGTGAATTATCTCTCTCTCTTTTGCTTTGCTTTGCTTTGCTTTGACCAGGGAACAACACTACATCCACATTACAGCTAATCTGGATTCATCTTGAACCAAAGTATGATATGCATTGAAATTAATTTTCAGGAAACAGTCTGCTTAGAGCTGGGGCAACTGTACATTGCAATGAATACACTGGCAGTGGAATACATCCAGAGAAAAGGGGAATACACAATTCAAATCATTTAATTGTAGCAAGGAGATTGGAAACATTATATCTGTGCTGGGTCAAAATGCCCTCTCAGCTTTTCAAGCAACTGTTCTTGTCACTTAGTCTGATGGACAGTAGTAGTTCTAATATTTCATTCCCACATGTTGAGCATTGGATATTTCACCCCTTTTAAAACCATATGGATATATTCATGTATCACTGCAAGACAGAGGGAACAAATTAAATATAAAAGTATTTTTTCCCTGCCAGTTACAATAGTGTACTCGTAAGGGTCTGTACAGCCAGCAATAAATGTGGATATTGTAAGCTATAAAGTGGAAGTGCACAGAGTTGCATGTTTGGAGGGTTACATTTGTCAAAGACTGTGCCCAACACAGCCATGCTTCATGTAGTAACAATACTGATAGACACGCTAATTAGGAGATTAAATGCAGTTTCTCAGCTTCTAAATATAGCACTCAAGTATGCCCATGTTGCCAGAATAGTAGCTAATTAAATAATATGGATTAGCACAGCAATTAAAATAAAGTAACATTACATTGAGAACAATATGGGAAGAAGAACTGTATTACAGTGGCAGAGACCAAAGTTTTCGTATTGAAAGAGCCAGGTTAAATCACAGATAAGAAAGATTTCAGATAGCAGGAACTAGAAGGATCTAGAGACTCAGTAGGCCTAGACATTCTTGTGAGTCATTAATGATTTGGGATAATACAGTCACTTATAATCAGAGATGGGAAATACTGTTTGTAGAATGACTCCGAAATCCCACAGATGATGGCCATGCTGGCTGTGGGATTCAGGCAGTAGGAGTCCAGCAAAGAAATATGTTCTCCTATTGCCAAATTGGCAAAGGCTTAACTTTAAAAGAAAGCTGTTTCCATTCAGATGATTTCATTATTAAGTGTCAATGCATTATGTAATTGGTCACTGACTTTCTTTTTTGGTAAGGCTTTGCTGACTATGAGGTAAAAAGGCTTGTTTTTTATTTATTTTATTTTGCTGCATGGTACAATTTTTCAAGGTGTTCAAATGCTTGATTGTATTGTAATATTACTAGATTTATCCTTCTGGTATGCTGTTTTGAGGAAACTACAGTGAAGATACAAGATTTTTTCATTATCAGTCATGAATATTTTACTCCGCACAGTAAAATTAAAACTCATTCTCACAAGTGGCAAAAAAAAGGTTGTGTATACTATTACATTTCATACAATTATATTCCTCTCAAATGTATACATCTGAAAAACCTCTAAGAAGTGAGTTATATATTGTATATTATCTTTAGATGTTACCAGGTTCATCTGATCAAATTTCTTTTAATGCTTTTTTAAACATTCATCTTAAACTTGACTTTATGTCAATTTAACCTGGTTAGATAGACCAAGTAAAATTCTGTAAAATTACAGAAATTTTTACTTTTTACTGAATCATGGTATTTGGACACAATTTGGTTAGAATTTCTCTTTTTGTTCAGACTATGTAAAGAACAATATCATAAATACTGACCCAAATTCTTTATTATGAGTGCAGAGGCACTGTTCTGCTGAACCTCATGATCACACCTTTCAAATATGGTGAAGAAAATCTGAGCACTGTGCGAAAAGCAGTGCGATCTATATAGTAAACCAGATGCGATCTATATAGTAAATCCTGCTGCTCCATCTTGGCACAGATTCAGTTTGAATAAAAATATCTCTTCACAGAACCAGACAGGGGCTGCAAAGCAATCTGCACAGAAACATTTAGATTTCATACAAATCAGTTGAGGGTTCAAAGAACTTTTATCTTGACTGTAGTGTGTCTTGTGTACCATATATTCCTCTCCTGCCCTGAATAACAATTATGTTTCTGGTATGAGGTGCTGGTATGAGGTGCTGCTAATTAGCCTTTTCTTTTTTCCTTGATACACTGCATGAATTAATGTTGGCCATATTGCATGTTGCTGTTGTTGTTATTATTGTTTTGCTTTTTATTCAGTCTCCTTGGATCCATTTTCCCAATGCCACGTGTAATCTATGCTATGGCGGAGGATGGGTTGCTTTTCAAATATCTAGCTCAGATCAATCCCAAAACGAAGACTCCACTTGTTGCTACTTTATCATCGGGGGTTGTAGCAGGTGAGGCTTATTGTAAGAGAAATGAACATCTTCACTCGTGGTAAAGGAAACAAGATACCAACAGGTGGTTATGGATCATTTTGAAATGTATGACTTTCTGAATAAAAGCTGTGAACCTTTTGTCTCTTACAAACCCGATTTTTGGCAGAAAGTGCATTTTATAGATGAAGGGCTAAATCTATGTATTGGTCTACCTAGAGCAGATCCATTGAATGGACAGTTTTTATTAAAATTGGTGTAATTGTTTATTAAGTCAACATCTGTGTAAATCCCATTGATTCAGTTGTTCAGCTTTGCATGAGACCAACAACTGGATTTAGCCCAAATTGGCCCTTTCCTGAATGTCTGTGATTAGGGTTATCATTGGCACATAATATTGTTACTATGGCACTTCAACAATTACATTTTTTTTGTTCTAGTCTTCTGGGCTCTATGTTCCCTTTGCCCCGCATTCTGTTTGCCATGGCACGAGATGGTTTACTCTTTAGATTTCTTGCCAAAGTGAGCAAGAGGCAGTCTCCAGTTGCTGCCACATTGACAGCAGGGCTCATTGCTGGTAAGCTCTGTAAACTCAGGTCTCGCTTAACTGAGATCTGAACCCTGTGTTCACATGCATCCATCTGTGAAAAGATGACCCTGCTTGCTAACTTTCCATGCATGTGAATTGGGAATGAAACAGCTGACTAATCCAAAGACATAATGATGGTGGTGGTACTATTGGTGGTGGTAGAAGAAGAAACTCCTTGGAGATCTTCTCAAAAGTTCTTCTCCAATGTGACCAATTATGCTTGGTTGTGCATGTGTAAACAAGGAAGCATAAGTGAATGCCTTGGGAAAACCCTGCTTTTTTCCATTTCTGCCATTGAATCCTACGTTTTGTGCAATATTCATGAAAAGCTCTCCTACATAAACTGCTGTAGTTAATATTCTGCTTAAGCCACATCCAGCAATTACAAAAAGGAATGTGTCATGAAAGGTGTGTTACTCTTTGTCTCATCTTCTCCATCCTCATATGACATAATTATTAAATATATGGCATGGATAGTCCTTCTCTTTTGAACCATACAGTGGTGCCCCGCACAACGACGATAATCCATCCCATTGAAATTGCTGTTTAGCAAAATCGTCATCATGCAAAAACCCTTTCCCCATTGGAATGCATTGAAACCCGGTTTAATACGTTCCAATGGGGAAAAGACCTCGTCATCCAGCAAAGATTGCCCATAGGGAAGCCATTTTGCAAGCGCCGATCAGCTGTAAAAATGGCTGCCCTGTGATGGGTCTGGAAAACACAGGGCAGCCATTTTGCGGAGCCGACGATCAACGGAAAAAATTGTCGTCTTGCAAACAAACGGTTCATGAAGCACAGACCTAATCAACGTCCAGCGAAAATCCCCCATTGGAATGTTTTGCGAATCGCTATAGTGATCGCAAAAAGTCATTGTTATGCAGATTCATCGTTTAGCGGGGTCGTCGTCTTGCGAGGTACCACTGTATTAAGATTAGACATTGACATTTAAAATAAAAAACAAAACAAAACAGTTTGGTTAAGACCAACTGCAGCCAGTAATTAATTGCTGGCTATTTTTTCTCTCTCATGTAATAAATAGAACGGCTGAGATTTACAAAAAGGGAAACAACCAGGCAGATAGTATCAAGATGGACGAACAAGGGAAGGACTATCATGCATTTCTGCACTAACTGTAATATTGCATGCAGGTTTCTGTGTCTTTAAATGATGTGTAAAAAATACAATTTTGAAGTGCAGGATGCATTAGAGTTTCCTTATCCATAGTGGTATAAATGTATGAAATTGAAAATCATTTTAACTTTAAAATATATGTGATATACTTATCAGCAGGTTACGCAGTATATTTTGCCCATTACATTTATGCTTGTATTTAAAATTGTGCTATTTGTCATGTAAAATAAGCTTTATATGTATTAAAACCAATTGTTGAAAGTAATTGTAAACATTCATGTTACCAAATTTCAAAGGGGAATTAACTCAGTAAAATTCCTCTGAATGAGTATTTTCCACAAAAACATTACAAAATATGAAATGGATGCTGGCTGTTAAACATAACTGTTTTCATAATTTATAAGGTGATGATTTGCCATGAATTGTGCAGACAGCCCTGAGGGTCTAAGGGCAAACATTCACTGTTCATGGGTAGAGTGGCAAGAACTACACAGTTTGTGTAATATTTATATACAGTATATATATATATACAAATTACGTTTTATTCATTCTTCTAGCTATAATGGCTTTTCTCTTTGACCTAAAAGCCCTAGTAGATATGATGTCCATTGGTACACTTCTTGCGTACTCACTGGTAGCAGCTTGCGTTCTTATTCTCAGGTGAGTTCCAGCTGTGGTTTAATAATTGTTTTTAAGGCAGCTTTGTCTAATAAGCTATTTTTATTTCAGTTTCAAAGATATATCAAGAGACAACATGCCATACACATGGAGATTAGAGTTACAGCAATTTAATTAGAGAAAGGTGGAATGCAAATTCATTCAAAACCTAGAGCAATTAATATTCTCTGTTTACAGGAGTTGTGCAGTGCTTGAAATAGTGTGTGCTTTGCTCTTGCTGCTGGTTTCTCTTCCGTAATGTATATGGCATAGTTCTTCCAGTGTCTGGCAGAGCAGGATGGGGAGGGGCTCTAGTATTGCAAGACAGCAATGGAGGAGTGTAATTCCTCTCCTGCCTAAGATTCTTGGATCAACAGTTTTCTTTTCAGTGTGTGAACTTCTCTTCTATTCTAAGGTAAAGGTAAAGGTTCCCCTTGACAATTTTTGTCCAGTCGTGTTCAACTCTAGGGGGTGGTGCTCATCCCCGTTTCCAAGCCATAGAGCCAGCGTTTTGTCTGAACGCTGTCCTACCTCCTATTAATATGGTTGAACAAACTCCTCCATTCATTTGCATGGTAGCAAGGAGGCCCTTCTTTGCCCTTCCAAAGTGGCTGGTGGGTGGGAAACCTATTGGGAAGTGGCAGTACATTTTCCTTCTCCCATGCAAATAGAATTATATCTTTGTTCACTCATTTGAGGGGAAATGCTGCACTGCTTCCCCAAAAGGAATGGAAAACAGCTGGGGGAGTTGGAAGCCCATGCCCTGTCAAGCACTCTAGGGCAGTGGTCCCCAACCTTGGGCCTCCAGATGTTCTTGGACTGCAACTCCCAGAAGCCTTCACCACCACCTCTGCTGGCCAGGATTTCTGGGAGTTGAAGTCCAAGAACATCTGGAGGCCCAAGGTTGACGACCACTGCTCTAGGGCACAAGTCTTCTGTCAGATAGATATGGTTCTACCTTACACCATTTTTTCAGCAGTGCAACCCCCCCACCCTATCTCTTTGCAAAAGAATGTGGAAATCACAACACTCACTTGCTTATGGAAAACGAAACCTGTCAGTACATGTGTGGGTTTTTCCCTCTTTTCTTTTTTGCTTGCTCGATCTTTCTGTTCATTTTCCCTCACTCCGTATGTGCACATACACATGTACTCCAGCTATTTCACAGACCATAGCATGTTTTTACAATGCCAGGTGTTTCCAATGGCTCCAGGAGTGTGGGGGTATCGTGTACGAATTAAGTGAGCAAGAATTTTGGAGCACATTATCTCTCCTGTCATAGCTCAAAAGACAAACGTGCTTAACATTAATAGGTATCTCAAATTACTCTGGCTTAATTGGCCTTGTGGGTTAAATTAAGCCTCTCATTAAGACTTTGAGGAACGTGGAGTGATCATTCTAGCTATGAGCTGTTCTTGGAAGATAAGAGGGTGGTAGTGGGGAAGCTGTGGCATGAGAGAAAGGCATATGGCTTATGAATTGAATTAAATAGCTAAACAAATGGTGAACGAATGTTGCACATTATGTGGAAGATATCTTCTGTTCATGGGTTTAGCATCTCTAAATAATTTATTCTGGAGTATACATTAGGACCGCAGTATCCACAGGGGATCAGTTCCAAGCCTCCCCCTGCAGATGCTGGAAATAAGTGGATAAGTGTATCCAAGCAAGGTTGAAAGAGGGATCCCTGGCCTAGTTGTGCCAAAGGACTGGGTTTCCTACCCTCCTGTTAACAAATGAGGCTTCCCTAATACCAGGAACTGCCACTTACTGCCTCCCCTCCACCCGCAAACGTGGCTTCTCCATTTCACCCAAAGCTGAGTCCCTTGGAGATGCCACCTGCATATAGCATAGTTTCTGGTTCCATCTACTGGCTAGCCCTGCTAATGCACCTTGGGAATGTATATTTCTAGGTTTTATTTATTTCATTATTTTATTTTTTTCAGGCAGTAGATAAGTGAAATCATGGCTATTGATCCCATGGATACTGCAGTTCTACTGTCTTTACATTTTATTTTGTGTTCTCTTCTTTTCTTTTCCTTTCCTTTCCTGTCTTTGAGCCTGTGTTTATGTAAGCATCCTTTTTGTTCATGTTTTCACACAGGTACCAACCTGGTTTAAATTATGAGCAACCAAAATATTCAGAAGAAAAAGAAGCTCTTGCTGGACCAGAAAGTAAATGTACAAGTGAATCCCAAATTAGCATGATACCAGGGCAGAGGTTTAGCCTACAAATACTGTACAATCCATCCAGTTTGCCAACTGAACAGTCTGCTGCCATGGTTAGCATTCTTGTAGGTCTGCTGGGTAAGTCAAAATGTGTCTAGAAGCTGGAAACATTTTTTGACTTTGATCAGCCAATAAGCAAAAGTGTATTTAAACAAAAAGGATCATTTTTATAAATATGATAATGAATTTGTTGTAAATCCTAGATGTAGAAAGCTGAGGAAGGAAAAGAAGGGTTTGTGTTCTCTGAGTGGCTGCAAGTAACATAGTTCTGTTTTGAAAGCTTGATTCAGACTATAGGCAGATCAATTTTAAAAACATAGAAAATAAAAATAAAAATTGAAACACTTGTTGCCACTGACAAATATTTATTTATATACAGTATATCACAAACATTCCAGACTTTAAAACAGTAAATCAATCTGTCTTTTTCTTGTTCCCCTTCTTGTTCTCTGCTTAGCTCTCCTGGTCTGCGGCTTAAGCATTCTGACCACTTATGGGATTCGTTTTCTTGCCAATCTGGAGCTTTGGAGTATCTGCCTCCTCCTAGCTCTTTTTGTACTATTTGTCACCACGACACTTTTCATCTGGAGGCAACCTCAGAATCAACAGAAAGTGGCATTCATGGTAAGGAGGACGACTAAGTAATTGGAATGCTTAGCAAAAATGCGGGTGCTTTATGAACAGCTGTGCTTGTAATGACATGGTACCCTGATTCCATAAATAAATAAATAAATAAATAAATAAATAAATAAATAAATAAATAAATAAATAAATAAATAAATGAATGAATGAATAAATAAATAAATAAAACCTAATAAGTATGATTTTTCAGGATGCTCATAATATAAGCCCTACCCCAAAAATAAGCCCCAGTTAAGTGAAACCCTGCCTTTCACCATTGTGAAGAAGATACATGGAAAAGAAAACATCCCCTGAAAATAAGCCCTAATGCATTTTTTGGAGCAAAAATTAATATAAGACCCTGTCTTATTTTCGGGGAAACACGGTAGTATTACTGCTGCTGTTTTAGTGGTATAAGATCTTGACACTCACAATACAATACACTAGTTATCATGTAATGTACTAAAGTAGTTATTCTTTTTATGCTTAACAAAAATGATGGTACTTATAAAATGTCACCTCAACTGCAGAAATGTTTTTTATGAGGGCTGCAAAACATAGTTGTTAATATATCAACTGATTTGTAAATGTTTTGATTGGCTGGCAGTACCTATGAGGGACTGTAACTTCTAAGAAGATTTATTCAGAGAAAGAAACCTGTGATTTCCCTTCCCCCCCCCCCAAAATATTTTATTCCTATGTAGGTCTGTGCAAAATTTAATCAGTCCCATATGGATGGTTAACAGATAATTCTAACCTTGAGATCAGTGACTAGCAGGGAATGGAATGGATATGTTCCTCTGTAGACTGACGGGAGCTCCAGCCCATTGACCCCATTTATATCAGTAGAAAACCCCATGGGCCTCTGTCTCTTGTAATGACACTTCTGTGGGTATTAGACCCTGAAAAAGGGCATTCAGTGGCAGCATAGATTCAGACCCACTGAATCCAAAGCTCATTTGTTCCACATGAGATCCCAGGATCAAGCTCCTCCACTTTTTCACTCTGAAAGTGGTATAGATAATTTCCCACTCTTTCAGTGGAAGGGAAGCTCCAGGTAACAAATATAGTGGTGCCTCGCAAGATGATTGCTTCGCATAACGACGAATTCGCGTTACGATGAGGTTTTCGGAGCGATCTTGCGCTTCGTTTAACAATGTTTCCTATGGGCGATTTTCGCTTTACGATGTTAGGGACCTTGCCTCGCAAGACGGTTAAATTTTAGGTCCCTGTTTTTCGCTTTACGATGTTTTTGACAGCTTGGTCTTGCTTCGCTATACGAGTCTTTTAATGGTCTCTGTTTCGTTAGACGGCTGTCTTCGCTTGGGAACCGCGTTTTGCTTAATGATGTTTCCTATGGCAATTTTCACTTTACGATGACAAACCGTTCCCATTGGAACGGATTATCAGGTTTTCAATGCATTTCAATGGGAAAACGTGTTTCGCAAGACGATGTTTTAGCTTAACAGCAATTTTCGCGGAACGAATTAACATCGTCTTGTGAGGCACCACTGTATCTGCTGGATTGTTCTTGCTAGCATGAGATGTCCATCAATTGAATGCAGTAGACAATGTGCTATCCCATTTAGGATTTCTGTGTCAGTTCAATCTTGGACATGTTGATTTAGAAGCAAGTCTCTGTTTGTTCAGGCAGATTTGGTCCCAAATAAGTTTGTCAGGAATGCTTAGAGAAGCCATTCCACTAGGAGAAGGAGCCAAACTGGTAGTTCCCAACATCCACCATCTTTTCTCTAGATTGGGTAAGACCTAAAAGTACTCACTTATTTAAGCTTAAAACTCTTTAGCTGTGTACTTTGAACCTTGCACACCAGCCTTACCAGGTAGGATACCCAAATAACAAAAAATAGCAAACATAGCCCTTGTGGCTAAGGCATTTTCTTTAGGCACTCTCACCCTTTCCCGAAGAATCGCTCTTGGGTAAAATATAAAACATTTATTCAAAAAGAGTAAAAAGTGATAAAACAAAAGAAATACAAAAATATACAATTCTGCTTAAATGTGAAGCATCTAAGTATTAAGTAAGCTCCTGTAAGACTTTCCCATTTAAAAAAAATAAAATGATTAACTAGAAAATAGTTTTACTATTTAATGACTAGGCTGTTTTAAGTCACCATAGCTAAGATCTCCCAATTAATCAGTGAAGGCTTTAAACCTGTTGTCCATCTTCTTTCCTCCAACTTTCACACATACACACCCCTACTTAACTCCCCTTTCTATAACTTAAATCAAAAAGTCTCTGCTTTTTGATGATATCCAATCAGCATACAGTCCTTTGTTCGTAAGTCCATGACCAACTTATAACTTACCACAGCTCTGTCTCTCGTTCTCAAGCTGATAGGCCATTAGCAAGGAATGTTATGTTTATCAGTCTTGAGATGTGGCCTTGGTTCTTCTTCCACAACAACAGCTAGGTCTCTGGCTGAGACAAAACACCTGCAAGGCCTGGGAAACAAGTACTACAAAGCCCATATCCTCAAAAAGTTGTTTGGGACTGTAGTTTAATATGGCATGAAAAGAAGTGAGAACTGTAATATTTACTGTACATTATGTGTAAATGACAGTAAAGAAACATAAATCAATTCTAAAAGCTGTGTTGTGTAAAATCCAAAGGCATGGGTGGGTGGTATCTTTATTAGACCATTAAAAAGTCACAAACGTGAGCTGGGCTTCCATTGCAGAGAGCCTTTGCTGGGTTAGGCATTACAGAGCTTAGGATGGAGTAGGGAAAAAAGTTCCAAAATCAATAGTGAGATGTGCAGGCCAGGTTCTTTGCCGATCTTTTTTCATGTAAGCTTCAAAATGAGATCTTTGTCTTAACAAGTTCAATGGTTCTTTCTGTGCCCCCACCCCACTCTGTAATGCCCTACCTGAGGAAGACTTGCATTGAGTCAAAAGCTAGCTTATGTTTGTGATTTTTAATTTTAAAAAAGGTACCACTTACTATTGTCTTCAGTTTGTATAAGCCTATATTGATTATATTGTACAAAGCATGAATGGATTATTCATTTCTGGATGATACAGATTCCTTTTTTGGGTAAAAATGTTGGCATTTTATTGTGAGAATTTGAAAATGTTAGACTTATTTGTTGTGGTGTGTTGAAACATTTCTGCATGTCTGGGGTCTATGCCCATTTCCCTTCTGGATTAAAATAATCATGTGATGCCAAGTCAGTTCTGACACATGGTGACCCTTATCAGGGTTTCCTAGGTATAAAGTACTCAGAAGTGGTTTACTAGTTCCTTCTTCAGGTGGCACTGTACAGCTGTGCACCTAGCCCAAGACTACATAGGCTGTCTTTTTCCTGTTGTGGCCTTATATAATTATATCATGCTCTGGAAGGCCCTCCAAGATTCAGATGTGACTTTGAGAAGGATCCAAAGGAATGGTAGATCCTGACTAGCCTGATATACATGTAGAATTTTGTATGTGGATTTTTCTACTGATGCATTATAGTCCTTCCCTTATCTGTCCTTTTTCAAGCTCTACCTCATAGATCTAATTTTAACATTAATATGATGTGTTGGGCATTTAGCAAAAATACTGAATTATAAAATGTTCATTTTCAGGTTCCACTCTTGCCATTTTTGCCAGCTTTGAGTATCTTGGTGAATATTTACTTGATGGTGCAGCTTAGTGGAGAGACTTGGGTCCGGTTTAGCATTTGGATGGCACTTGGTAGGTATTCCTAGATGAAAAGAGCAGACTTTAATCAGCTTTTCACCGAACTCCACCCCATATCTAGACAAGGCCACCCTCAGGACATTGGTGGTCTCCAGGATCAACTACTGTATTACTCTCTATGTGGAGCTTCCCTTGAGCCTGGTCCAGAGATTGCAGCAGGCCCATAACGTGGTTTCCAGGCTGGTAGTGGGCATGACCAGGTTTGATCACATCTTCCTAGTCCTGGCTTACCTGCACTGGTTACCAGTTGCATCTTGGGTCAGTTTCAAGGTTCTGATGCTCACCTATGAAGCCCTCCATGGTTTGGGACCAAATTACTTGTTGTAGCTCCTTTTCCCAAGGTCACCTGCCCACCCCACCACATCCCTCCCCAACCCTGCTCCTCTGGGTAACCATTCTGAAAGAGGCCAGAAAATCTTCTATGAGAAGTCTTGGCAATGGAACCAGCTCCCAGTTTAGCTGTGCCTGCCTCATTCCCTCCCAACTTCTTGGCTTTCTTCAGAGAGGCCTTTCAATGCAACCCTGCTTGACTTTTTTTGCCTTGTGCTCTGCCTTTTATATGAAACCAAGGTTTGAGTCAGGGCAAAAGCATGTTTGCTCTGGCAATTGTTAGTAGAACTATAAAAATAATTATGGAATATATATGACAAATGTGGAAAAATTGCCTTTTATTTTCTTTTTGAAAGGTTTTTTTATTTACTTCGTTTACGGTGTGCGACACAGTGTGGAAGGCCATCCTAGGGAGGACGATGAGGATGAGGATGATGACACCTGCTCAGAAAAAAGTGGCACTCCAGAAAAGATCTATGTGGGAGATCCAAATAAGCATGAAAATGCAAGTGAAAGTGCTCAGTTTATTGCCCATGAAAGGACAAGTGAATGTTAACAATTGCCAGCTATTATAGCATATATATCTTTTGAGCAGTGAACTGTAACAGAATGGAGTTACTGGGACAAATACATGTTCTTGCAAGATTATTAGTAATCTACTTACACCTTTTGGAAACACCTACCATCAGACTTGGAACAGTGATCTAGATTGCTACCATTTCCTTACCAGCATCCTGCAACTTTAATTAGCAGAACACCCTGCAGCTGATTCATCAGGAGTACCTAACAGTGGGGAGCTGAACAATTTGATTTGTGTTATTTGGGCACATGTGTTTTTGTTTCTGTACTTATATAATATCCTATAGCTGTCGAATAACAACATAGCCAGGTTTTTTTTTCAACCTCTCTACATTCACAGAAATGTTAATTGTTGGAAATTTATGTTAAAAATACAACAGCTTAGGTGAGTAGGAAAGTAATAAGTATGGCAGAAATTTAGTCTCAATTATGGTATATGTTAACTTTTGATATTCTTTATCTGCAAATTATGTAAACCATGAGCATCCTTCTGAAAAGGCATTATATTTAAGACTAGGCTCAGTGAGTTAACACTGCAGAACCAAAGGCTGGCTCTTCTGTTCATCCCAGAAAAGCCAGCCTGTGTGGTTTTGGACAAGCTGCACAGTCCCAGGATGTCCCTGGAAGAAGGGAATGGTAAACCACTTCTCAGTGCTCCCTACCCAGAAAACCTTGAAAAGGGTTGCCATAAATTAGAATTTATTTGATGGCACATGATTACCATTCATTACTGACACAGGGATAGTACCAACAATCTGATGCAAGGAAGGAAGGTGCTTCAACCTAGCTCATCAAGATAAACTCCCCACCCCTTGGATGACAGGTCACCCTGATGGCTATATTTCATATAGAATCTATTTGCCCAATACTTTTTATATAAATTTCCCCACTATATTTTTAAAAACATGTTACATCTACTAACTTGTTAAAGAGCTAAAGTACTGACAGGCAGAATGTTATGAAGCTGGCAGTTTTTCAGATGCTGGTGTGCTTGTGCAGTTGTCTGACTGTACTGTGTCTCTGCATATGTGAATCCTCAGAGATTTGCAGTACATGTCACATATCCTCCAGAAATGGGTACTGAGAACAGCAGTGGTACAGTGGGCCATGACTCACCCTGGGACTTTCTGAGGAGCAGACAGTGGCACCAACTGCCACCCTCCTCAGGCTCTCCATTCGCTTTTAGCTTAGTTGCAGTCCTTAACAGTGGCTGGGAGAAGAATGGATTTCTCCAGGAAAAATACATCATTGCACACTGTCCCTCTTACAATGCAAAGTATTTAATGGTAGTTTGTCTTTAGTGGGCAATTAGGAGCTATTAGCTTTCCAAAAGACCTGCTACTCAGTTGTGAACATGAACTCATCCAGCAGCTTGCACTTTTGTACCTAGTTGGCATTGAAGTTCTGGGAATGGAGACTGTCATGATGACCACCTGCACTTCCAAATTTATCTCTGCAGCTGAATGGGCACATAATTATTAAGTAACTTAGCCCTGGCTAAACAACTACTGTACTTCTTTCAACCATAGTCTATGAAATAAGGTCATAGAATTCTGCAGATAAGAAGCATGAAAGGATCACCCATCCATTCCTTTGTTATGACATCATGAGCCACAATAAACCTTGAGCTCACACACTATGTTCAATGTGGCCACACAAGAGGAAACTCATGTAATCTAACTAAATACAAATTTCCTAAAATTATTCAATTTTCTTATGACACTTTATGAATCTAACAATATGACTTTTAACCAGGTTTCAATTAATACAAAATTAATTCATTGAAACAAACAGATCCACAAGGAAGCTGAAAGGACTTTTAAGGAAGTGCTCAGTTCATATAGTCCATTTACATGCAAGATTTCAATAAAGGCTTTAAGTCTCACACATTCCTTTGAAGTGTAGTTATTCTTTGGTAATAATTGTCCTAACTAGCCAGGCTTGCATGAATCCTTAGTCTCAGTTTCTTTGTCAAAGCTTAGGACCAAAGCATTATCAGTAAAGAATCTCAAATATAAAAATGCATACTCATTTCCAATTAATCTTAAACAATACCACTTAATTAAAACTTTACTGTCACATACTTACAATTCCAGTCAAAATGGGCTTCCTGGGAGAGAAAGCTCTCATCCGTAATCAGTTCACATCCACCTTCAAATACATGCAAAACAACTGATTACAGCTGTTGAACTACTTTGACATAGGGGTTTAAAGTGGTAGTACATATATGACACAAATAAACCAAAATCATAAAAAACATATGTAATCAATATTGACATTCAAACATAAGATATTTTACTCTAAATGTTCTTGTTGTTTAGTGATTAAGTCCTGTCTGACTCTTTGTGACCCCATGGACCAGAGTACGGCAGCCCCTCCTGTCTTCCACTGCCTCCCGGAGTTTGGTCAAATTCATGTTGGTAGCTTTGATGACACTGTCCAGCCATCCCGTCCTCTGTTGCCCCCTTCTCCTCTTGCCCTCACACTTTCCCAACATCAGGGTCTTTTCTAAGGAGATTTCTCTTCTCATCAGATGGCCAAAGTATTGGAGCCTCAGCTTCAGGATCTGTC